TTTCAGAGAGACAAGCACCACAATGACTTATGGATATGGTGAAAGTGGAGAAACAACAACACAAGGCTTTGTTCATAACTTGATGGCAGCATGGCCTGCAAGCTGGACGGCGCTGATTGCTGGCTCGAAAAAAGGTTGTGGTGCAGAAAACCAACAGCCAAAAACGACACACATGACAACATGTAGAAGTGTTTCGTTTGTTTCGTCTCAAAAAAACAAGCAAGACAATGTATAGCATGGCTCCGTGAGACCAGGAGCAGAAACACCGTTGTCTTCACAGGTTTCGGGAACGCCCAACATGCTTTCTCCCCCAGTGACAACACAATGCCTCTTGATGCGGGCAAGGCAAAATTGTGTGTACACATGGGAATCCCATCTCAAGATCTCAGAGCCTTGTGATTTCATGTGCTTGGTACGGCGTTATACCACTGTCCATGTAAACACACAGGATGTCTTACCGATCATAATACAGAAACTGTGCGACCAAAGATTTTAGAATCCACCGAGCTGTCGTTTTGTACCGATTTACAAATATTACGAGCAAAGTAAAGTATCTTCCCTCTCATGCACATCCTTTCCCCTCTTCTCCCCTTTCCTGTCTTATCAGGCTCCTATCTGGACCCCATTCTAATCCTATACAATCCTCCCTCCCCCTCCTCGCCGTTTCCTATCGGATCCTTATTCCAGTCTTGTTCAGTATTAGTCGAATCCTTTCTCCTCCTCCTTCTCCCTTCCCCTTCGTCTTCTTCTTCCATTTCTTTTTTTTGCTGTTTTTTCTCATAAGCTCCAATCTGGATCCAATTCAAATCCAACAGAATCCTCCTCCCCCCTCCGCCTCGCCCTTTCTCATTGAATTATTAGTTTAATCCTTCTCAATCCAAATCGAATCCTCCGTCCCCCTCCTCCTCGCCATTCCCTGTTGCATTCTTCTTTGAAGCCTATCCAATCCTAATCCTCCCTCCCCCTTATCTTCGCTCTTTCCTATTGAATCTCTGTTTGGATATGAAGGAACAGGAGTGTCGGTGGGGTTCGGAAACCCCAATGGCATCGGCAGCTCCCCGTACTTGCCTTCGCTCATGATCGCATTGGGCGAGGATGAGGAGGATGGATGGGTGTATGGAGGGAGAGGGAGGGAGGAGGAGGCGGCGGAGGAGGATGAGGAGGAGGAGGAGGAGCAGAATGCGGGGAGGCAGCGCAAGGGACGAGGATGAGGAGGAGGAGAAGGAGAACGGCAGTCAGAGAGAACAGGAGAGACGATCAGGAGCGTCGGGAGGTCAGCAATCATTCGATATGGAGTGCTAGTTAACATATATTTATATATACACATACATTCATACATCTATGTATATATGTATGCATGTATGTGTGCTAATTTTCTTAGTTATTATTTGTTATAGGGCCGGGGGCCCCGGACAGGGCCGCCCCCCCAACGAATTTCGGATTCCCCGGGTTGCCGGGAAGCCCCCCCCCCCAAAGTGGACCTCCCCCGATTTGGAGCTTTGGGCCCCCCTGCACGCCCTTGGAAGAGGTCCCGCAGCCCTGCCGCGCCTCCCAAGGCGGCTTGCCATGCCTTGCCGGCAAGCTCAAGGCGATCAGAGAAGTGGTCGGAGAGGCGCTGGAGAGCTCCACGGCAGCGCAAGATGGCTCCAAGACGGACCAAGAGGCCTCCAAGGCGGCCCGAGAGGCCCCAAAGATGCCCTAAGAGGCCTTCAGGAGAGCCCCTAAGAGGCGAACATCGTCCCATGTCATTGGGAATATTCGCTGTCTGTGTCGTAGCAGCGTCCAAGACGGCCCAAGAAGCTTGCGAAATCGCCCCGCAGCTGCCCAAGAGGCCCCTAAGAGGGCTTCAAGACGGACCAAAGAGGACCCCAAGACTGCCCCAAGGCAGCCCAAACGAAGCTCACGAGGCCTCCACAGGCTCCCAAGAGAGACCCACGAGGGCCATGGGATGTCCCCAAGAGGGCCCCAGTTTTCCAGGAGAGCCCCACGGCAGCGCCAAGAGGGCCCCAAGACGGCCCAACATGCCCCAAAGACGACCCAAGAGGCCCCAAAGACGCCCCAAGAGGCTTTCAGGCGAGCCCCCCGAAGGCAAACATCGCCCCATTCTTTAGGGGAAACGTGAATGTTTAGCATCTTCGTCTTCTGTGTCGTAGCAGCGCCCAAGACGGCCCAAGAAGCCGGCGAAATCGCCCCGCAACGGCCCAAGAGGCTCCCAAGAGGACCCCAAGACTGCCCCAAGACGGCCCAAAAGAAGCTCACGAGGCTCCCACAGGCTCCCAAGAGAGACCCACGAGGGCCATGGGAGGTCCCCAAAGAGGGCCCAAGCTCCCCAAGAAGGCCCCAGGACAGCCCAAGAGGGACCCAAGACGGCCCACACGGGCCTCACAAGGATTCCCAAGACGGCCCAAAAAGGCACCCGGGAAGCCTCCAGAGGTCCCCAAAGCTCTTGAGAGGCCTTCGTGAGGCCCCTTAGAGGTTCTCCAACGAGGAGCCTCCGCAAAAAGTCCTGCGGCAGACGGGAAATGGTTCGCAATGCCAGGCGAGAGCGTGGACGAACGAGAAGTACGATTAGGAACGATGAGGCGTTATTTTCCATTGCCTTGCATTGCGCGACCGGGCGACTTGGGCCACGAGCGAGCCCGTGTGGTGGCCACGCGAATGACCCGAACGTCATTCTTTTGCACAATCGTGCGTCTGCCCGACGGCGTCTCCTACGACACTCACCAAATTGACCCGAATCCCGCGTTCGCAGCAAAATTGAATTCGTGGCGAACCCGGGATTCGGTGTATTAGGAGGAGGAGGAGGAAGAGGAGGAGGAGGAGGATAACCAAGGTGCAAGGCGCGAAACGCCAATGCAGTCTTATACATATCTATATACATATACCTATATATATACATTGATATAGGTACATAGATATACATATATGTGTGCATACATATATATGTGTATATATATATATACACATGTAAAGGTTTGTATACATGTATATGGACATACATGTATATGTAGGGCCTATCTTGGAGGTGATCGATCAAAGACGGGGGCTTCGAATTAGCGCACCCCGTTCCCCCGAGGCGCAAATAGGCCCAACACCTAAGCAACACCAATGATTTGTGCCTTCTCGGGAGGGGCAAGCGCCTCCCCGAAGGGGAAGAACAGGGGTTGGTAGAATTCGGCTCATCCCAGTCTCAGTTTGTTTTGCCCCGATTCGGTTAGGGTCGGTTCGGCCGTCGTCTCGATTCGTAGTCTTTGGGTTCGTCTTGTCTCAGTTAATCACGTCTGGGTTCACCGCGTTTCGGTCCGCTCACTGTCGGTGCGTTTCGCCTCGGTGCAGATAATCCCCTCGTTGGCTCGTCCCGCTTCGGAACTGAATCGGATATTGAGCTCGAGCTGATTGTGCGCCCCGCACGTTTCGATTGCATTCAGTTCTGGGCGAGCTGTGCGCTCAGGCAGCTCGAGCTTACGAACCAGATCAGTTCGGTCAGGATTCGGATGCCAAGGACGACTTCGTCCACAACGCTATGGAGCGCAAGGCAATTCACCGATGCATGACACATTTCAATTCAGCACGGCACAGCACGGCACAGCCCCAGACACGGTACGTAACCATCGACGTTCAGGATTGCAATTGCCCGTCGCCCAATCAGATGTTTTGAAAATTGTGCTATGCTTCGCACTTCTACATTCATTTCCAGGTGCGTAGGTCGACCGTGTTGACAGCCTCGAGGCCCAGCGATGGCCTCCAGAGGCCGAAGGCCCTGGCTGGGTGTGGGGGTGGGTCGTGCTGTCCTCAGGGTTTTTTTTTGCAACGAAAGAAGGTGGGTGCCACCCTTTGTGATGCACCATTTGCGTGCAGCCCTCAACTGTGCACCATTTATGTGCAATCGCAGCACGGCCCAGCGCAGCGCAGCACAGCCCCTGGCACGGTACCATTTTCATCGATACCTTCAGCACTGCCACTGCCCATCGCCCAATTGAGATATTTTGAAGCGCATTCGTGCCTCTCAGTTCTGCATCCGTTCCTGGGTTCGTGGATCAATCATGTTCCACAGCGAGAGGGGGTGGGTGCAGTCCCCATCTCGGCGTCGCTGCAGGGCCCTGGGGGCGCTGGGGCGCTCGAGGCCGCGCGAGCGGTGGGACGCGCGAGCTGGGCGGGCCTTCTTTTGCACCTCTTGACAAGCACGGAGTCGTGCGGGGCCTGGGGGAGGGAGAGGGGGGAGGGGAAGGAGGGGGAGGGGGGGGGGAGGGGGAGGGAGGGAGGGGTGACGAAAGCAGCCCCCGCAAGGGAGTGCCTCGACGCGGGCGGGACCTGGGCCAAGCCACCACCGCGACCTCACGCGAGGGTGGGCAGATGCTTACTGCCCACCCGCCGTCCTCAGCAGCTGGGGCGCAGGTGCAGCCAGGCCGCATGGCGGCGGGTCGCGGCGGGCGGGTCGCGGCGGTGGTGCACGCCTGCCTGCCGGCACGCCGGAGCAGGAATGTCTGCTGTTCGCCGACGCAACGCATGCGTGGGCGGTGGCAGCCCAGTGACCTCGCCTCCTCATCCTCATCCTTGTCCTTCTCCTCCTCCCTCCCCTCCGCCTCCACGTCCACTCCTCCTCCTCCTCCTTTTCCTCCTCCTCCTCCGCCTCCGCCTCCGCCTCCACCTCCGCCTCCTCCTCGCAAAACAAGCCACATCCAAAGGTGGTCGCATCATGATGATGAGTCTCCTTCCCAGGGCACCCTTGCGTCCTTGCCCGTCGGCACATACCTTGGCCTGCCAGCTTGGGCTTCAGTTTGGGCGTCCAAAGGCATTGCATCCTTACCGCGCATCCCCAAGATCCATGGCGGAAGGCGGCGGAAGTAAAACGAGGGCGGTCGCTCTGGCAGAAGCGGGTGGAATGTTGGCGGAGGGCGGCGGGAACAAAGGCAGACCTCCCCGGAGAGGTCAACGATGTGTCCACGGATTCCGGAGTCGGCCGCGTCGTCTCTGGGCGGCAAGTGGTGCACCGAAGGGAGGCCTGAAGCTGGACGAGGGCCAGGACGATGTCGATGCGCCAGCCGCGCCCGTGAAAGAGGCAGGGCGTTTTGCTTTTGCTGTCTCTGTATTTTGATGTGGTGCTCTCGGCGTGCTCTTGTTTCGAACGGTCGTTGGTCTCTCATTGACTCTGTCTGCTTGTCTCTCTCTCTATCCACCTTATATGTTCCTCTATCTTTCTCCTTCTCTCTCTCCGTCCCTCTGTCTCGCTGTTCTTTTCTGAACTCCCTCTTCCTGTTTCACTCCCATGCCATCTCTTTACCATGATGACGACGACGGACGACGGACGACAGACGACAGACGACAACCGACAGACGACAGACGACAGACGACGACGACAGACGATGGCAGACGACGACAGACGACGACGACGATGACGACGACGACGACGACCACGACGACGATGTCGACGACGACGCCGACGACAGACGACAAAGGACAGACGACAGACAACGGACGAGGACGACGACGGACGACAGACGACAGAGTACCGACGACGACGACGACGACGACGGCGACGACGACGACAGACGACCGACTGCAAACGACAGGCGACAGACGACAGGCGACAGACGACACACTATAGACGACAGACGACGACGACGATAACGACGACGAACACGACGACGACGACGACAGGCGACGACGGCGGCGACTACGCTGTCGGGCGCGGCGGCGATAAGGCGACGGACGACGACGACGACGGCAGACGACAGCCGACAGCCGACAGACGACAGACGGCCGACGACAGACGACAGACGACGACGACACACGACAGGCGACGACGATGACAAGGACGACCACGACGACTATGACGACGACGACGGACGACGGACGACATCGACGACGAAGGAACGACGACGACGACGGACGACGACGACAGATGACAGACGACAGACGACAGACGACAGACAACAGACGACGACAGACGACGAGGACGACACGACAGACGACGACGACCACGACGACGACGACGACGACGACGGTGTGGGCGCCGACAATGACGACGACGACGAAGGCGACGATGGCGACGACGACGACGACGCCGACTCACGACGACGACGACAACGACGACAGACGGCAGACGACAGACGACAGGCGACAGACGACAGACGACAGGTGACAGACGACGACCACGACGATGACGGCGACGGACGATGACGACTGCGACGGACGATGACGGCGACGGACGATGACGACGACGACGGCGGCGGCGGCGGCGATCAGGACGACGCCGACGACAACTCGCGACGGACGCCGACCACAGGCGACATACGACAGACGACAGACGGCAGTCAATTGACGACAGACGGCAAACGACGACGACAGACGACAGACGGCGACGACAGACGACGACGCCGACGACGACGACGGACGACGACGACAGACGATGACGACAGACGACAGACGACAGACGACAGGCGACAGACGACAGACAGACGACGACGACGACGACGACGACGACAGACGACAGACGACAGAGGACGACAGACACAGACGACAGACGACGGAGGACAGACGACAGACGACACACGACACACGACGGACGACAGACGACAGACGACAGACGACGACGCTGGTCCTCGGGCTTTTTTTCTTCCCCGGCTGGCTCCACGCCTGGGCCGCCCAAGCCCCCCCCCTCTCGGCACCCTCGGCCCGGGCCGGGCGGGAGCCCGGCGTCGCCGCTCTTGTGTCCAGCTCGGTGTCTGAGACCCGCGGCAGGCCCGGGTCGGCAGAGTCCTCGGCGGGCCCTGTTCATCCCGCGTCACGTACACTCACGGGGCACAGCAGGAGAGAAGCCTGGATCGTTGCGATCGCTGTGATCGTTCTCGCCCTCGTTGCCATTGATCGTTATCGCCCTCGTTGCGATCGTTGTGATCGTTGTCGTTGTGATCGCTGTGATCGTTATCGTTGTGATCGTTGCCATCGTTGCCATTGATCGTTGCCATCGTTGCCATTGATCGTTGCTGGATCGCTGTGATCGTTGTGATCGTTCTCGCCATCGTTGCCATCGATCGCAAACGCTGTCGGGGCTCGGCGGCCGCTGGTGGGCTGATCCTGGTCGGTGGGGGGGGGCCCTCCCGCCGACCGAGCTCGGCGCGAGCTCGGCTCCGGGATCCAGCCGCCGAGCCTTCTCTCGGGAGGCGAGGGGGGCAGCGAGGGAGGGCGAGGGGACAGGCATAGGGAGGGAGGGAGGGTCGTCGTCGAGCGCTGGCGACGACCCTCCCAGGGAGGGGGGGAGGGACAGACAGGAGAGGGGAAAGGGAAGGAGAGGGCAGGAGGGAGGGAGGGGGGGGGATCATGAGGAGCATGAGGAGGCCAAAGGAGGACGAGGAGGAGGAGGAGGAGGAGGAGGAGGAGGAGGAGGAGGAGGAGGAGGAGGGAGGAGGAGGGAGGAGGAGGAGTGGGAGGAACACAGGGAGGAGGAGGAAGCGGAGCAGGAGGAGAAGGAAAAGGAGGAGGAGGAGGAGGAGGAGGAGGAGGGGGAGGAGGAGGAGGAGAAGGAGATGAGGAGGAGGAGGAGGAGTAGGAGGAGGAGGAGGAGGTGGATCAGGAGGAGCAGGCAGAGGACGGAGATCCGGAGGTCTGGAGGGATCAACGCTATTGACTCGCATCCGTAGCAATTTCGGCTCGGGCCGCCTGGCCCGAGCCAGTCTGACCCAGGAGGACCAACCACGCCCGCACTTGCAGCTGCGCTGGGGGGCGATGCTCGTGCTGGCCGGCCCGCCCTCGGCGACCCGCCCTCGGAGACGAGGGCGGTACGCGCTCGGTGGCCTCGTTCTCTCCCTGCTCTGCCGGCCCGCACGCAGCGGCATGCAGCCGCCCCAGCGGGTGTCGGAGCAGAGCTTGCACGCGGCTTGGACGCATCTCGCCCACCAGGACCTGGACTTGCTTGGAGACTGGAGGTTCGACAGGGACTTCCTGCGGGAGCTCAACGGCAAGCTGGTCGGCAAGCAGTTAGGCATCATCGACAACTTCTTCGCGCCGGCGCTGGCAGAGATGCTCCACAACGAGTCGGTGCAGCACCTTGCCTGGGGTAAGAACTGGGGCGACCCCTTAGAGAACACCCCATTAGGTCAGCAAGGAGGGCTGAAGGAGTACAACGCGCAGTTTAGTCCGAACGATCGGTGCGTGTTTGTGGCGCGGGGGTTAGCAGCGCCTGGCAGGGAGAAGTTCTTTAGTTACAATATCATTGATGACAGGGAGCTGAAGCTGCCAGGCCGCATGGCAGTCCAGGAGCTCTTTCGGCAGCAGAAGTGGATCAAGGGGTGGACCATCCTCCTCACCGGCACCGATGATGGCATCGATGAGCTTTTCATGAGCGAGCTATTGTTTCGCGAGTACCGTCCCGGTGACTACATCAATATGCACACCGACCTGAACATCTATCCCGGTGACTACAATGAGCGGCGGCTCTGTTTCAGCTACTGGACGCCGTCGCCCGACTGGGATCCCGAGTGGGGAGGGAGCTTTGTCTGGTGTGGTAAGGGGGTAGGGAATCCACAGGGATCGGGAGGTCACTTTCCGACGGCGTTCCGCGCGCCCACCCGCTACAACCAGGCGGGCTTCTTCGTCCCGACGATGGACTCTTGGCACATCTAGGGGATCGGAGGACCACTTGAACATAAAACCTCGGAAGTCCGCGGACGGCTTCTCCGCCGGCGCCAGCCCGCCTCCCCGCACCCCGCGCGGGGGGCGGCGCCAGGAGGGGTGCTGGGAGGGGGGCCCTGCGCTGGCGGCGAAACCGTCCGCGGACGTCCAAAGGGTTATGTTGATGTCGTTGTCTGGTTCTCTGGCATTGTCGACCGGGTGAGCGATGCAGTGGATCCGTCCCGTCACCGGTTCTCCTTCACCTCGTGGCTGGAGGAGAGGATACCCCTGTCGGGGTCGGCGGAGCTCTGAGGCTCTCGTCGAGGCAGGGTCGAGGCTCTGCCATCAAGAGGCGGCAGGATGAAGCATCTACACCTTGCTGGCCATACCAGTGCAGGATCGCATGGGCGCTGGCGATAATTGTTGATGCTTCGCGTATCCCCACTAGCCCATCCAGAAACGATGCCCCGGCGAGTCGCCTTGATGGAGGACATGTAGAAGAATGCGCTGGATTAGGTGCGAGTGTTCTTGTTGTCAAGATAGTGTTTTGAGTGTTTCCTTTTGCATTGGCGACCATTCGCGCCGCATTGGCGCCTCTTTGGCGCAGACGAGCGCCCCTATTGCAGGTTGGTGTTCGCGTGGCTCTGGGCTTGCTCGGTGCAACGCGGTGGTGCAGAACTTGCAGGGATGCTCGCAAGTCTCGAAGAACAAAAGTCTTTCTCTTTTTGCTTCCAGCCTTCCTTCCTTCCTTCTTCCCACCCTCCCTCCCTCCCCTCAGCAGCCCAGCGGCTTCAACAGGAAACTCCACGGCCTTGCGCCCCCCAAGGGGGCTGGCAGATCGCTTGTACACTGCACCACGGAGCAGGCATTGCTTTTGCCAGGGTCTTGGTTCGATTCGACGCCTGGTTTTCTCAATGGAAAGGCATGCCTGGTCGCTGTGGAACAACGAGGGGGCAGCCAACAAACCGAAGCTCGGGATCAGCCTGAGCAGACCCCTCGGCAACTCCGCGGTGGTTCGACCCCTCGTCCTGCGAAGAGCCCTGGGGTGCCAGAGGCCAGCGCGGTGGAGCGAGCCCACTCAGCAAGTTACGTTTCTGCTCCCCTTTCTGTCCAAGAGGGGAGTGTGCCTTCTGCGTGTCTGGCAGGCAGGCCTGCGCGAAGACTGGCAGGCCTTGCATCAGGGGTCCAGCAGTGCCCACTAGGTAGGATTCAGAGCCTCGAGCGCCCTTACCTTATTACGTGACCTCCTCCTCCTCCATTCATGTTCCTTAAAAATGAATCCCCCATGTCCCACAGGCCAGTCGGAAGGGCGGGCCGGGCACTTCTCTTGAGAATTATTTACCATTTCTGATCCCGACGTTTGCTCATTGGCAGCAGTTCGAAGATGGGGGGCGGGTAGTTTTCAACATGTGGCTCTCGCCCTAGCGCCGCGCACATTCGTTTCAAACGTTTGCAGGAGCTTCACGGATTGAGGGCGGGCCGTTTTCAAAATGTGGTTATTGTTTTAGCGCTGCGCACATTCGTTTTCAGACAAGTGTAAGAGCTTCACGGATTCAGGGCAGATCGTATTCAAAATGTGGCTATCGCCCCAGCGTCGCGCACTTCGTTTCAAAAGTGTGCAAGAGTTTCACGGATTGAGTGCGGGTGGTTGGCTCTCGCCCCAGCGCCGCGCACATTCATCTAAACATGTACAGGAGCTTCACGGATTGAGGGCGGGTGGTTTTCAAAATGTGGCTCTCGCCCTAGCGGTGCGCACATTCGTTTGAAGACACCTGCAAGAGCTGCATGGATTTAGGGCGTTTTTTTATCAAAGTGGATTTTCGCCCTAGCGCGGCATACACTCGTCTTAAATATGTGCAAGAGTGTTACGGGTACTCATGGTTAACGTACCAGAAGTTCACGGGTCAGGATCGTCAAAACGCAACAGTCAGGTTGATCTGGAGCGTTGAAGTCCCGATGACGGTGTTTTGGGACGCTGCTGGATGTTCAAACGGTTGTGATCTTGATAGTTGCAGCTTGCGGCAAGCGGTAAGGAAACAAATAAAACATTCTAGCGGTAAGCGGTAAGCGCTCAGCCTCCGCTTGTTGAGTTTAGGATTACGGCTTACGGTAAGCCGTAAGCGTCGCTCCCTTCCAGGAGCCTTCCGGGAGGCTCCAGGAGGTCCCAGGAGGGCCCCATGGTCCACAAAGCGTCGCGGACACCGAAAGCCCAATTTGGGCCGTAACCCCGGCCGATTTTGGCAAAATCGGCGACAAGTTCTCCCAAAACCGAGAGGCGTTATGGCGCCGAGCCACCCCCCCCCTCCCTGGGAGGCCCCAGCAAGCCTCAGGAGGCACCCAGGAAGCCACCAGGAGGCCCCAGAACGCATCATGAGCCCCAGGAGGCCCCAGGAGGGCCCCAGAATCCACAAAGCGTCGCGGACACCGAAAGCGAAAGCCAAGGTGGCGCCATAACACCGGCCTGTTTTGGCAAAATGGGAGACAAGTTCTCCCAACACCGAGTGGTGTCATGGCGCCTCCCCCCCCCTTTCCCAACGAGGCCCCAGCAAAAGCCCCAGGAGGCCCCTTGGAAGCCACCAGGAGGCCCCAGAGAGGCCCAGGACGCTCCAGGAGGCCCCCAGGAGGCCCCCAGGAGCGCCCCGGGTCCACAAAGCGTCGCGGACACCGCAAGCCCAAGGTGGCGCCAGAACACCGGCCGATTTGGGCGAAATCGGCGACAAGTTCTCCCCAAACCGAGTGGTGTTACGGTGCCGAGCCTCCCCCCCCCCTTCCCCAGGAGGCCCCAGCAAGCCCCAGGAGGCCCCCAGGAAGCCACCAAGGAGGCCTCAGAACGCCCCAGGAGCCCCAGGAGGGCGCCAGAGACCACACAGCGTCGAGGACACCAAGCCCAAGTGGCACAATAACACTAGCCGATTTTGGCAAAATCGGCGACAAGTTCTTCCAAAATCGACCGGTGTTATGGCGCCGAGCCCCCCCCCAAGCCCCAGGAAGCTCCCAGGAAGCCACCAGGAGGCCCCAGAAAGGCCCGGGAGGCTCCAGGAGGCCTTCCAGGAGGCCCCAGGAGCGCCCCAGGGTCCACAAAGCGTCGCGGGCGCCGCAAGCCCAAGTGGCGCCGTAACACCGGCCGTTTCAGACAAAATCGGCGACCAGTTCTTCCAAAATCGACCGGTGTTACGGCGCCGAGCCCCCTCCCCTCCCTAGGAGGCCCCAGCAAAAGCCCAGGAAGCTCCCAGGAAGCCACCAGGAGGCCGCAGAACGCCCCAGGAGGCTGCAGGAGGCCCCCAGGAGGCCCCAGGAGC